GAAATAACTTTTTAGAAGTATACCGACTAGACTCAATTTACAACTGATTTAAAGGGAAATTTTCTTAATTAAATTTATTGTATCACCAGAAATTCTGTCTACATGCAGAAAATAAATAATAACAAACACATTCAAATTTTCCCTAAAAAAATAAGATACRCTAGATACGGCAAGAACTAGATACACGCTGTGTTAATTCAATGTTGTTTTAACATTATTTAAAATTCGTAAATATTGTGTAATCAATAATCACGTGTGTATTTCAATATTAATATAGTTGTATTGATTAATCAGAAATCGGAATCCAAATAATTATAAAAGGTAACATTACATAAAAACATACAAAACACGTCATATTTTATTATATAACTATAATCAATAATTTAATAATAAGTTTATATTTATATACGAAGAGCGTAGATTTATAATATCAATACTATATATAATACCTACAACCTACTGATTTATTTTTATTTTTATATCTTTCATAATATAACATGATGTGTACCTCTGATATTTTATAACATATTTTAATTTAGCAAATTTAGTTCTTATATATAATACATTTAATTAATATTATAATATGTGAGTATTAATGATTAATATGATACTCACCACAGTAATGAAATTGGTAATATCATAAACATTTCCATGAATGCTGATCCAAGCATCACAAGTTTTTTTATGATTGGATACTGCAGTAGGAGTGTAACAATGTATAGACATTTTAAAAAATATTTATTATTAAACGTACCTATATATATATAGGTACGTATAATACCTATATTATCTAGTGTCAACCAATTAATAAAAACTAACTACGCACATATTTATTAACGCATATTATACATATCAAAATMGAATTTGCCTCGAGGCACTATACCTACCTACTAACAAGTATAAAGTATTGCACGTTAACATAAAATAATTTGAATACAATGTACAAGTTTAGGAAGTGTCGATCCCCACAGCATAATCCTAGAATATAAATAAAATTATGTGTATGCTCGTTGAAATATTTTTTTTTGTACCCATCGTTGGTTTAATGTATAATATATTCAGGTAATTATTAAGTCAGATTGCAGGTATTATTCATTTTAAGTCGGTATGATTAATTAATTTTTGATTAAAATAATCATATCAGAAACAATTTAAATAAATATAATATGCTCATGATATATCATATATACTAATATGAGATTTTAATAAAATGTTTTAATTGTGGCTTAGCGTGGTGTGGTTACTACAATCGTTCGCGCATCGCGGTTGAGTGTATTCATTACCGCTGTCACAAGTTTCCGGTAAAATGACCACTCYGGGTCCTTAGGTCAAAAACTTTCCCACACATACATGTACTCCAAACCAACTGTACCCTCCCTCATAGCTATGAAACCTACTAAAAATTAACCACCCAATGACCGTGCCTATATTGCCGTGCCTTAATTTAGTTTTNGTTGAAATATTTTTTTTGTACCCATCGTTGGTTTAATGTATAATATATTCAGGTAATTATTAAGTCAGATTGCAGGTATTATTCATTTTAAGTCGGYATGATTAATTAATTTYTGATTAAAATAATCATATCAGAAACAATTTAAATAAATATAATATGCTCATGATATATCATATATACTAATATGAGATTTTAATAAAATGTTTTAATTGTGGCTTAGCGTGGTGTGGTTACTACAATCGTTCGCGCATCGCGGTTGAGTGTATTCATTACCGCTGTCACAAGTTTCCGGTAAAATGACCACTCCGGGTCCTTAGGTCAAAAACTTTCCCACACATACATGTACTCCAAACCAACTGTACCCTCCCTCATAGCTATGAAACCTACTAAAAATTAACCACCCAATGACCGTGCCTATATTGCCGTGCCTTAATTTAGTTTTAAAAAAATATTTTAAATAATTATTAATTAAGTGTTTTTATTTTGATAGTCTTATAGTTGTATGCATAATAATCTATTTGATTTATATCAGAGTGAAGATTTGAAATAAATTATTGTTAATATATTATATACATTGCATATATAGTAGGTAAATATTATATTATTATTACAGTTCAGTCTTCAATATATTTTATTTTCTCTATTTCTCTGCTTCCACCTTGACAATTCGATACCTATTAAACTTTGAGAAATAATTCAAAAGGAGTAGGTATGACTCTTTAATCCTACAACTCTACATAGCCATATAAACCATTACAGCCAAATTATTCAATTGATAACCGTTCGTGGTAAGCGCACCCGCAGGATAAAATTCCACCMGGGGCAAGGTCAAAATTCAAAAGCCAAACCAAAAGGGATATTTTTAATTTTAATATAATTCTATAATGTCTTCATTCTAAAATAGCATATTAACCTACATAGAATCTTATTTAGTACTTCATAAATACACCTCAATAAAATTGTGATATAATTAACATGTGTGACATTAAATTAAAGCACTATAGTATTGGGGTAATGGCCCATTTGACCCCTCTCCCACTTGACGGGTTCCGTTGGTTAATGGTGCAGTGAGTTAGTATAATAATGAGTAGAACTCTAGAGTAACACTATACAAAATCAAATTAGATATGTTTTTTCGTTTTTACTAAAAAGAATAATAATATCACTTTTAGTATTCATATTATGTAATTATTATGTAAACCAAGATTTTTAGCAAGAATATTATTTTTTTATTTTTTTTTTTTGCTTCAGATTCTCATTGAACTTAATTAAATTTATTTGATGCATTCCATTAGGTATCATTTATGTTTCTAATTTGTTTATGACTTCAACCAAACAAAAAACAAATATATTTTTAATTTAATTTGTTATTTATTTTGTTGTTATCTTTTAAGTATATGTTATACTTTTCTTTAATATCAGTAAGTTTTATGATAGCAATTGCAGAATCTGAATCCAGATTAGAAATAACGTCTTTAATGTTTTAGGAATTTTTAAAATAATATTCAACTCTTAATAACCAAGTTCTCAACGAGAAATTATTGGCTTGGGTGGAAGGTATACATTTTAAGATAATTCCCTGTATTTTAGCACTTTATTTAAGAAAATCGTTTATTACAATTTCGATTAATGAATTAATTAACTAGGGGAAACAGATATACATATATAGCAAGAGGCAGACTAGCCAGGTATAGTATATTGGAAATAGTTCTACTAGACCGCCAACTTTCTAAGGCCTACCTAGTTGAACTAAGTACATACATTTTAAGCTTTATTCTTTAACTAAAATATTTAAAAAGAACATTTTTTATGAATTTCTAGCTTAAAATAATTTGCAAATTTTCGTAATTTTTACGTATTTTTTCAAAATTCAAACTTTGAATGCTTATAAAAAAAA